ATGTGTGTGTGTATATGTGTGTGTGTATATGTGTGTGTATATGTATATGTGTGTGTGTGTATATGTGTGTGTGTGTGTGTGTGTATATGTGTGTGTGTGTGTGTGTATATGTATATGTGTGTGTGTATATGTGTGTGTGTATATGTGTGTGTGTGTGTTTCCTTGTTGTAAAAATGTGAACAGTGACCATGTGTTCCCCAGACCCTCCACCAGAAAAGTGACACAGTGTTTCTTTAAAGCAACAATAAAAAGTTGATTTGACCTTCTTCTGCTCGGCCGCCTCCTCCAGGGGGCAGCACTGGTGGATTTTGTGGTTTTTGGAGGTTTGACACACGAGGCAGAGCAGCTCCAGGTCATTTTCACAGAAGATCTGGAGCTTCTGCTGGTGCCTCGAGCACAGGGCCACCTCAGGGACCACCTCAGGGACCACCTCAGGGACCACCTCAGGGACCACCTCAGGGACCACCTCAGGAGTCTGTGCTGATGCGGCGCTCCCTTCAGGGTTTGGTTTGGGTCCAGCAGACACTGCAGAGCTCTGTTGGGGTTGCGGTTCAGCCCCCGGAGCGTCCTTCTGTGTCTGGTGTTGTTCTGCTGCTATTTTGAGCTGCAGGTTTATGGGCGGCCTCCCCGGCGCCGACAGAGCTCCACACACCGGACATTCCCGAGATCCTTTCAGCTCCCAGAACTTGTGCAGACAAACACGGCAGACGTTGTGGCCACACTTGAGGAGGACGGGGTAACTGTAAACGCCACCGCACTGGGGACAGAGCAGGTCCTCCTCACAGAACAACACCGGAGCCTCCATCTCCACGTCCTCGTCCACGTCCTCGTCCACGTCCTCCGTCTGCAGGAAGAGAACAAACACTGAGGAAATGAGTCGGTTCAAACAGTAACTCACACTCAGACCTGACAAACCTGCAGAACCCGTCTGGACTGGAGTCACACCTCAGACTGAGCGACCGATAGAAACACACCGGACCAATGTTCACACGTGTGGGAAAGTCACTGAAGAATGACACAATATGACTTTATATTCTATTCTTTTATACTTGTGTTTTGTTTTGGTCACGTTTAACTCACAAACCTGCACATTTAACACGAGTTCTTCTCTCAAACTGTGATGGAAACTGTCAGGGAATTGACCCAAAGACTCAGTGAGTGAAGAAGAAGCAGAGAGTTTCCTGACTGAACCTTCACTGAAGCTCTCGTCCTCACAGCCCTTTTATTGTTAAGCATCACACCGCGGCCTTGACATGGTTCTACGACATGTTTTTCAGTTGTTATCTCTGACTAACAGACGACAGCTGACACGGCTCCTGCTTTTACACACTCAGTTTCATATCCTGGTTCACACACAGTTCGTGTCCGTCCAGAAGAGTTCACACATTTCTGCTGATGTTCTACAGTCACAGTTTGAACAAGACACAAAGCAATTTTGATCATCTTATAATGTACAATGATTCAACATAGATTAATACTTAAAATGACTGAATGTCTCATAACACAAAAATTCTATAACAGAAACAAAGTTGAATATTTCTGTTTCAGTTCATTGGTATTTGTGATTAAAATGAAAATGATTAATTTTACATGTTTGAAAGTAGAAAAGGAAAAGGGGCAGAGGACGACTCTTTCTGCTCATTTTCAATCATGTCCTGCAGACGTGGAACCAAGTCGTTTTTCTGCAAGTGTCAAGTCTTTGACCTCAAGTCCGAGTCAAGTCCCAAATCAAATACAGTCAAGTCCGAGTCAAGTCCACTTTGAGCTTCAAGTCATTTCAAGTCTTTAAACCAAAGTAACAAATATAGTTATATCAAGGTATATTTATATGTGAATATTTATATAAATGTAGAAATTTTATTTTTTTCCTTTTTAAATGTTTTGACAAAATCTTTGTGTGAATCTTTACAATCGGAACAGAAAGAATTCTCATTTAAAACTGATAAATCACAGATATATTGTCATGAAGTTCTCTGTAGTTCCTTCTGTTTTACTCTATTGTTCTGTATTTTTAGTAGACACATCAAGTCTCTTCAAGTCATTGACCTTCAGGTCCGAGTCAAGTCTCACCTCTGATTTCTTGTATGTTTAATGTGAGGAAACTTTTCATGTCTTTTTATATTTATTTTATATAGAAGTTTATTACCATTTTCTCAGTGTTTCCAGACGAGGCGAGATCCGACTTTGTGTGTGATTTAGTTCTATTTTTTTTCAATAACTACATTTAAAAGTGATGAAATGTTGATATATAATATCAATATAATAAAGATATAAATATATATATAATATAATATGGAGCTCAGGATGAAGCACGACAGGCAGGAAATACACACACACACACACAGACACACACACACACACACACACACACACACACACAGACACACACACACACACACACACACACACACACAGACACACACACACACACACACACACTACACACTCTAACGTCACATATTTGACTTCAGTTCTTCAGATAAACTAGAAACAACAGAACAAGTTGAACAAACTCTCTGTTTCCCTCCAAATCACTAAATCACTTCAGGTCTTCATCCTCGTGTCACTTCTGAACAACTCGACCTCGACCTCCGGAGGGAAACGGAGCCACACAAACTCTTCTGCGTCGTTGTCCTCAGACTCAGCATCAGTTCGTTAGCGGTGTGCAGAATATCGATATATCGTATGGTTTAATGTGATGATACAGTATCGATATCGTGGGCTGCTGTATCGATATATCACCCAGAGTAGTTTTTGGTTTGTTTTACTAAATTATTATGATACAGCTCTACATTTTTGTTGTTTGGATTCTCTCAGAGTTTCAGGAGAGTCCGACTTTGTGTGTGATTTAGTTTTTTTCAATAACTAGATTTACAAATGATGAAATGTTGATATATTTTAAAATATTTAGAATAGTTGATTTATTTTGTAGTCACAAATATAAAACATGTTGTAATAGCGGCGCGTCTGAATAGAGACGGCGCTTTTTGTCACAAAGATATTTTACAGAACATTATTCAGCATTATTCATTCACTCTGCACCTGCTGA